GGTCACATCCTACGCAAGACAGGTTTTAAAACCTACCTGACCTATCCCAACTTAACCTAGCCTAGCCAAACCTAGCTTAACCTAGCCAACTTAACCTAATCTAGGCTAGTACATCTTAACCTAACGATACACACACACACACACACACACACACACACACACATATATATATATATATATATATATATATATATATATATATATATATATATATATATATATATATATATATATATATATGTCGTACCTAGTAGCCAGAACGCACTTCTCAGCCTACTATGCAAGGCCCGATTTGCCTAATAAGCCAAGTTTTCCTGAATTAATATATTTTCTCAAAAATTTTTCTTATGAAATGATAAAGCTACCCATTTCATTATGTATGAGGTAATTTTTTTTTTAATGGAGTTAAAATTAACGCAGATATATGACCGAACCTAACCAACCCTACCTAACCTAACCTAACCTATCTTTATAGGTTAGGTTGGGTTAGGTAGCCGAAAAAGTTAGGTTAGGTTAGGTTAGGTAGTCGAAAAACAATTAATTCATGAAAACTTGGCTTATTAGGCAAATCGGGCCTTGCATAGTAGGCTGAGAAGTGCGTTCTGGCTACTAGGTACGACATATATATATGTGTGTGTGTGTGTGTGTGTGTTGTGTACTCACCTAATTCACTGTGTGTGTGTGTGTGTGTGTGTGTGTGTGTGTGTGTGTGTGTGTGTGTGTACTCACCTAATTCACTGTGTGTGTGTGTGTGTGTGTGTGTGTGTGTGTGTGTGTGTGTGTGTGTACTCACCTAATTGTGCTTGCGGGGGTTGAGCTCTGGCTCTTTGGTCCCGCCTCTCAACCGTCAATCAACTGGTGTACAGATTCCTGAGCCTATTGGGCTCTATCATATCTACATTTGAAACTGTGAATGGAGTCAGCCTCCACCACATCACTTCCTAATGCATTCCATTTGCTAACTACTCTGACACTGAAAAAGTTCTTTCTAACGTCTCTGTGGCTCATTTGGGTACTCAGCTTCCACCTGTGTCCCCTTGTTCGCGTCCCACCAGTGTTGAAAAGTTCGTCCTTGTTTACCCGGTCGATTCCCCTGAGGATTTTGTAGGTTGTGATCATGTCTCCCCTTACTCTTCTGTCTTCCAGTGTCGTGAGGTGCATTTCCCGCAGCCTTTCCTCATAACTCATGCCTCTTAGTTCTGGGACTAGTCTAGTAGCATACCTTTGGACTTTTTCCAGCTTCGTCTTGTGCTTGACAAGGTACGGGCTCCATGCTGGGGCCGCATACTCCAGGATTGGTCTTACATATGTGGTGTACAAGATTCTGAATGATTCCTTACACAGGTTCCTGAACGCCGTTCTGATGTTAGCCAGCCTCGCATATGCCGCAGACGTTATTCTCTTTATGTGGGCTTCAGGAGACAGGTTTGGTGTGATATCAACTCCTAGATCTTTCTCTCTGTCTGTTTCATTAAGTACTTCATCTCCTATTCTGTATCCTGTGCCTGGCCTCCTGTTTCCACTTCCTAGTTTCATTACTTTGCATTTACTCGGGTTGAACTTCAACAGCCATTTGTTGGACCATTCACTCAGTCTATCCAGGTCATCTTGTAGCCTCCTACTATCATCCTCTGTTTCAATCCTCCTCATAATTTTTGCATCGTCGGCAAACATTGAGAGGAACGAATCTATACCCTCTGGGAGATCATTTACATATACCAGAAACAGTATAGGTCCAAGGACTGACCCCTGCGGGACTCCACTTGTGACGTCTCGCCAATCTGAGACCTCACCCCTCACACAGACTCGTTGTCTCCTGTTGCTTAGGTATTCCTCTATCCACCGGAGTACCTTCCCTCTCACTCCAGCCTGCATCTCCAACTTTCGCACTAGCCTCTTGTGTGGCACTGTATCAAAGGCTTTCTGACAATCCAAAAATATGCAGTCTGCCCACCCTTCTCTTTCTTGCCTTATTTTTGTTGCCTGGTCGTAGAATTCAAGTAACCCTGTGAGGCAGGACCTGCCATCCCTGAACCCATGTTGATGCTGTGTTACAAAGTTCCTTCGCTCCAGATGCTCCACTAGTTTTTTTCGCACAATCTTCTCCATCAGCTTGCATGGTATGCAGGTTAGGGACACTGGCCTGTAGTTCAGTGCCTCCTGTCTATCCCCTTTCTTGTATATCGGGACTACGTTAGCTGCTTTCCAAATATCTGGCAGTTCCCCTGTTGCCAGTGATTTGTTATACACTATGGAGAGTGGTAGGCTCAGTTCTCTTGCTCCTTCCTTTAGAACCCAAGGGGAGATTCCATCTGGGCCTATAGCCTTTGTCACATCCAACTCTAGTAAACACTTCCTTACTTCCCCACTGGTAATCTCAAACTCTTCCAGTGGTTCCTGGTTAGCTATTCCCTCACTTACCTCTGGAATTTCTCCTTGTTCTAAGGTGAAGACCTCCTGGAATTTCTTATTCAATTCCTCACACACTTCCTTGTCATTTGTAGTGAATCCTTCCGCCCCTATCCTTAATCTCATAACCTGTTCCTTTACTGTTGTTTTTCTCCTAATGTGGCTATGCAACAATTTAGGCTGAGTCTTTGCCTTGCTTGCGATGTCATTTTCGTATTGTCTTTCTGCCTCTCTTCTCATCCTGACATATTCATTCCTGGCATTCTGGTATCTTTCTCTGCTCTCCAGTGTCCTGTTATTCCTATAGTTTCTCCATGCCCTTTTACTTTGCTGCTTAGCTAGCCTACATCTTTGATTAAACCATGGGTTTCTCATCTTCATTTCTCTGTTTTCCTTTTGGACTGGGACAAACTTGTTCGCTGCGTCCTTGCACTTCTGCGTGATGTAATCCATCATATCTTGGGCCGTCTTTCCCCTGAGCTCTGTTTCCCATGCTATATCTGTTAGGAATTTTCTTATCCCCTCATAGTTTCCCTTTCGGTATGCTAACCTTTTGGTTTCGGTATCCCTCCTCGAGTTCAATAACCCTTCTTCAATCAAGTACTCAAACACCAGTACACTGTGGTCGCTCATTCCTACTGGGTCCTCAAAACCGATTTCTCTTATGTCGGAGTCGTTCAGAGTGAAGACTAGGTCGAGTCTCGCTGGTTCGTCATTGCCTCTCATCCTTGTGGGTTCTCCGACATGCTGGGTTAAAAAGTTGCTTGTCACCACCTCCAATAGTTTGGCTCTCCACGTATCCTCGCCTCCATGCGGTTCCTTGTTCTCCCAGTCAATCTTTCCGTGATTGAAGTCGCCCATGATGAGCAGGTGGGATCTATTTCTACAGGCAGCAGTGTGTGTGTGTGTGTGTGTGTGTGTGACCACGTGACCTCACCACCAGCTGTTTACTAACACAGTTCAGCCATTCGGAAGCATAATTGCAGTCCCCGTGGAGTAGTGGTAACACACTCGTCTGGCGTTTCCCGAGCGCTTTGGCCTGGGTTCATATCCTGGCCGGGGAGGATTTACTTTGCGCCAATCCTTAACTGTAGCCTCTGTTCACTCAGCAGTGAATGGGTACCTGGTTGTTAAACAATTTGGCAGGTCGTACTCCGGGGAAAATTAATATTAGGGACCTGGCCGAAATGTGCTAGTAAGAACTCTTTTTATATATAAATAAAAATAGTTAAGCCGTTTACAAGCGCAGCTCAGCCGCTCACGAATCCAGCTCAGCTATTCAGAAGCTCCTGCTCACACTGTCGAACAATAAGTCCAACAACACAGGAGGATCATTACAAGATAAGTACACCAACACAACATCAGTCGCAAGAAGAGCATCACTGGAGAGGATCAGGATCCCCTTCACATTGTTGACATGCCCCTTCAACACCCTTGACAACTATAACCCATAACATCACGTGGATTTAACTACGCTTATGCAGAGTAGCGTAGGCCTAGATTAAGAAAAAAAATCAGGAATCGAGGCCTAGTCACTAGAAAACCCTCGCACAGCTGTTGCAATTCAGTGACCGTTTACACCCACAAGCAATTATAATCCCCCCCCCCCCGCGAAGCAACAGCCCGTCCTCCTAAGGTTTCCCAACGTCAAGAAACTCGTACTAAATTGCCCTTATCCAAACCTACCAGAGGACCCAAAACAGAAAACGAGACAGTATGTCAATTTCCCGAGCCGCTTCCATTTCCTAGTACGACGACTTTGGGCCTTAGGTAACGCAAACGTCATAATACAACGCTCTATTAGGAGGACGAGTTGGAAGCAGACATTCGCCCTCCCCCTCTCAACCCAACCCTCCTCCCCCACTCAACTCAACCCCCCTCCCCCTCTCAACCAACCCCCACCCCCTCTCAACCAACCTCCACCCCCTCTAAACCCAATCCCCCTCCCCCCATCTCAACCAACCCCCTCCCCCTCTCAACCAACCCCCAACCCCCAACCCCTCTAAACCCAATCCCCCTCCCCCCTCTCAACCAACCCCCCACCCCTTCTCAATCAACCCCCACCCTTCTCAAACCAAACCCCCCTCTCAACCCCCCACCCCAGCACTCGGTGGTCAATTTTGGGTACAGATATTTCATCAAATCACCTCGCATGTTGGGGTAAGGGTTTGACGACTTCCAATCCTGTAAGTCAGGATCTGCCTCCGAAGATGTAGAAGAGTGCTTTAGTCAAACATGTCCTTTAATGATATCCATCAGGCCAAATATATTGTAAAATTAACTTAAAAGTTCATTTTTCTACTTCTTCTTATGTGAAGAAAAACGTAAGAAATCTCGAGAAGTTTCGAATTATAAATAAAATAATGGAATAGAATCTTCAACGAGAAATATTTGCTCATGCTGACGGAAAAAAATAAATGCACAATAAACAGTGAATCTATAATTAAGTTATTCATCCCTTTTATGAATAAATGATGAAGGTAAGTTATGAGAGGAGCCCAGACGTCCACCTGCTCCTTCATCAGCCTTAAGTCATCAATAACTCATCACTACTTTGTATTATGATTGGTGACGTCAGACATATGCCTTACCTTACAGGTATATGTTGTTATGGGGAGGGAGGCCAGGCTGCACTCTCTTGCTCTCCTCAGGCGGGATGCTGCACTCTCTTGCTCTCAGACGGGATGCTGCACTCTCTTGCTCTCAGACGGAATGCTGCACTCTCTTGCTCTCAGACGGAATGCTGCACTCTCCTGCCCTCCTCAGGCGGGATACTGCACTCTCTTGCCTTCGTCAGACGGGATGCTGCACTCTCCTGCCTTCGTCAGGTGGGATGCTGCACTCTCCTGTCATCTTCAGGCGGGATGCTGCACTCTCCCGTCGTCATCGGGCATGATGCTGCACTCTCCTGCCCTCAGGCGGGATGCTGCACTCTCCTGCCCTGAGGAGTGATGCTGCACTCTCCTGCCCTGAGGAGTGATGCTGCACTCTCCTGCCCTCAGGAGTGATGCTGCACTCGTATTCCCGCCTTCCTGATAATCCACCACTTCATTCACTACCACAAATCCGTAAAAATGTCACAATACTCACTGTCGCCTTCAGCGTGTCACTCCACGTTCCTCTAGTGCATGATGTGGGTTCTACCGTGACATTCTGAGGGAGATGTTAAGGAGGTAGTGTGTGTGTGGGGGCGCCACAGGTGGCGAGGGAGCGGCACGCATACACTCACTCTGACCGCTGGAGGCACACTGAGTCTCCCGGGGGCCCGACGCCTGCACTTCACACCAGCCTACTCATAATATTTCTTACTCTTAAAAAACACCTTCACTAAATCATTTCGCCCCCTAGTAAATAGTATTGATTTTATAAGCTAAGTAAATTAAAATGATTACATTCGTACTGCGATTTGTTTTTATTTGTGTGTGTTTTTGTGTGTTTTTAAAGAATTTGTTTTGATGTAGTGAACTGTGCTTCCTGGGTCCAGTAGAACACATACACTTGCGGAGATATATTTCCTGAGGGAGCAGCTGAGCCAACCACAGCCAAAGTCATTGTTTCAAATCCGCTTTTATGTCAGTTTGCACATGCGCCATCCTCGACCCCTCGGCGCACCTCCGGCCGCGCCTCGCTCCAGCCAATAGAAACGAAGAAAGTGTTTTAGACTGGCTGGCTATTGGCTGAGGCGGAGGGCTGGTTACCTCGTGATGGAGTTGCCGAGACAAGATGATCAATAGTGGTGGTAGTAGACACGTGATTACTGCTCCTTAACAGATCAAGCTGGTTAATGGTTCACAAACCTCTCCTCTCACCTAATACATCGCATTTTTTACGGAGTCGACCAGTCCGTTAAAAGTGTGAGGTATTAGTCAATATTCAAACACCCGTAATTTTGACGTTTTCTATACATCGGCTTTGATAGGTTAGGTGGGTTGCTGGGGTTTGTACGTTTCTGGTTAGGCAAAACAGTTGCATTTTGTACGTAGTGGCAGATCATGAGAAGAGGTTGGCTTCTCCCAACTGGCATATAACGCGTCGTCCTGCAGTGGAAATAATACGGCCGTCTCCGAGGTGGGTAAAAATGACTCTTGAAGCCTAAAAGGACTGTTACCTAAACGGCGATCATAATAACTGTCTTTCACTCAGCTTTAGTTTGTTCAATAAACCTTTGAACTATATGTTTAACACATCTCTAACCCTGTCCATAGAGGACAGAAGAAAATATATATATGCTGGTTAGCATTGTAAATGTGTGGCCACGTCTGTGGTAGAAAATAATAATAAAAAAAAACCTCAGCTTTAGTATCTGTGTGGTATGCTGTTCCATCCGCTTGGTATCAGTGGCACTCTCAGCATCTGTTTGGTAAGGTGTTGATTATTGTACAGTTTTGGTATGGTCAAAATGTTCCCTCAAGGCCCCGGGCCCCTGTCACTTGGCATGATCTTACATGATCATTATAATAAAACGGAACATACAACGTATGTATAACCCTTAGTTATACATACAAGGGTTAGATAACGTAGTGACGTTACTGATATAATAAGGTAAAGATGTATATATATACACGGAATGGTGACTCCAACTTCACAATAAATGGCACCGCCAGTAGGCTACTCGAACCGCAATAAGGACTACTGTTACCGCATAAGTTATTCAGTACCATGTACATGTGTACTGTTCATTTCAGTCTAGATCCTCCATAAACGAGAGTACTTATAACTACTATGAATGTTATGTTCAAAAGATGGACTGTTGCTCATCTAACAGCCACTTGCATCAAAATACACTTTGCCAACTTTGAGAACACGACGGAACATACAACATACTGCCCTGGCAATTATGCAAACAGGAGATTGGTAAGATGCAATGATCCTATTGGCTCATAAGTGAGGTGTTCACCTTCACCTCATCCTCGGGTATATATCCGGCAGCAAGAACCAGTGCCACAGACTGGAGACATCTCCCGTCACGCAGGGTGCAGTCGCACCTCCACAGATCTCCAGTATCATCTATTGATACTGGAAATGGCTCAAAAGGGCCACCACTTATGAGCTATTCATGCCCAAACCACCTTTTGGGTGGCTTAATCTTCTCTCTCTTCTCTCTCAGTGCCACAGTACCACTTACGGGCTATTCAAGCCCGTGCCACCTCTTGGGTGGCTTAATCTTCATCAATCAATCAATCAATCCAGTGCCACATACCAGCTCCCCTGCCCACTAAAATTGCGTGGGGTCTACCAATTCAGGTAGAGAGGGCAAACGGCCCTTCACCATCGGCCATGGTGAAGGGTGTGAAGACCTCCGTACAGGACAAAAAGAAAGATGGTAAGACATAAGAGTGATCTACACATTTCAGTGCAAGAAGCAAGGCAAATATTTCTGTGTGAAGGGTAGAGGCTCCCGTTGTTTATACGAACTCCCCACTCAAAATATAAGACATCGCCCATTGTCAGGACAACTGCACTTCCGGCTGTACCCGTGGGGCGGTGTGCAAAAGACATTTTACACTATCATGAATTAAAGCTCTGCAGCTATCACGAGTTACCCCCACATATAATGTACGCGTTTTCTATGTAGACTAATACGTTCGTTTTCTTTTATTAAAGTAATGGGATAACAGGCACAAAATTGGAATAGGCTAACAAGGTCCAAATGAGATACTCAGATAAACAGCTGCCGTTGTCGGGAATAGGTAATCTTATAACTAGCTATCGTTATCCGGAACAAGTACTCGGATAACTAGGCATATCGAAGGTTATAGTCAAGACTAACCCGTTACTAACCAGACTCAAGCAGTAGGTAGAGGCCCAAACCCTAGACCAATAGATTGCAAATGTTAAACATTTACGAGTTCCAAATCGTTACGAAGTTGTCCATTACACAAACAATTTTAAATTGCGAGTTGTTGAAGCTCGTAAAATGTTTACCGTATACAGATTATGCCGCCACTGGTTTGTAAAACTGTAAAAGTTTTGTAAGTGGACACGTAAATGCTTGATGAATCCTGACTTGGAACTAGCAGTAAAAAATTTACGTCGTTGTAGATATTTAAATTCATGGTAGCCTGCGTTGAATAGGTTAAGTAATAATTGTAATTAAGAAGCAATAAGATGCTTATCTGAACATACTAAGAAGGTTAGGTGAGGTCGGTGTTTTCTATGAAGCTTTTCAAGGTAAACTAAAATATTCACAATAAATTAGTATGTCACATATGCACTTATTTAATAAGTCAATATTGACTGTAAGAAAGTGCGAGAATGGGTTGTAGCCTGAACCTGCTTTTGTGGTGATTTAGAGATAAATATATTTTGCATTGTTTAACGTTATATTGTATCCGGATAACACACCGCCCCTTGGGCCTAACAATGAAAGGATAAATACTCGCATCACTCCTCTATTTCTTTAATCAACATTGTCACAATAGTTTACAAGATAATAAATCACTGACAAGTATGAAAGTTTACACTGTTTGACTTAAGATTAGAACCACAGACAGGCGTGAGAGACCGACTACCCTGGGATCCCCCCCCCCGCTCCTACATCCCTAGTACCAGCCAGGGACCCCCGTTCTTTAGTCCCTAGTAGAACTCAGGGACCCTTCTCTTTCTTTCAGCCCAGCCTCCAACCCAAGGCAAGATAAAGTAACACTCCACCAAGGGGGGAAAGAGTCAGGCTTGATGACGTGAAGTTCGTCACTAGTAAGACACCAGGGGAGTAAAAGATGTGATAGCAAGGCACTTGTAAGAGTCTACAACAGTGAAAAATAACACTTGAATTCAAAAACTTAAGAGCACATAGATTCACATAGTTTTGCAGTACCTGGGAACACAGTGGAAACCCCTAAATCACTCGCGGATTTCAATCTGTTGGTAAAACCAGGCAGAGAACGAGAATGTAAACTGAAATGTTCTAGCTTCTTTAAATGCTAGAACATTTTAAAGTTTCTTTACAACAGTAGGATCGGTGAAGAATGTGACGTGACAGGTCTCTGCATCAGTGGATAACTGGGACTCTCCATATTGGAATGTGTGATAATAGGTGTTGAAATGCATTGCGAAGACTGAGGAACCCAGAATGAGGAAAAGGGTTGCAAGTAGTATGTATATTCTAAAACTAAAAGGATGACAAATACTGGAATTAGTTTAAGTTCCAAGTACAGGTGAGTGAGGTTACATGCGGAGTCTCGCAATATAAATAAATCAATAATGGGAAGAGAGAAATACACTTAGACTTGAAAACAGACTTTGGTGGAGGAAGTTGCTAAAGAGTGAGAAGAGGGCAAGACTGAACTGGCGGCCCAAGAGACGTGTCGGTACCTTCAACCTGGCAACCCGCCGTCTTGGCAAATGCCAGGTTATGGTATGATATGGTAACCAACGTACCAAATGCAAAGTATTATGAAAAGTAGCGGTTCACAAAAATCTTAGTTTACTACGGAGCGGTTGGTAAGGTTAGAGGGGTGGCTAGGGTTTGTGCACTTCAGATCAAGTTAGGATGAAGGATTTTGAACATTGTGGCGACTCAAGAGAACAGTTTGAACTGGAAGCCTCGGTGTGTTCTACGTGGTGATAACGGCGCCTGGTTGCCCTGGACAAACGATCATTAAAACTAACCACAAACGACTTAGTTTGTGGTTAGTTTCGTCGTCTCCTCGTCTTCAGGTGTGTGGTCTGGTCCTCATATCTTCGGCCCCGTTATTGTGACTCATCGTCTGCTTAAGTTAATTGTCCTCGAGGGTAATACAAATGTGATAGGGAAAAAATTTGTCACATCACAGTAGTAGTGTAAAATAGTAGTGTAAAAAAAACAGTACTGTGAGGTGTCTGGAGGACACTTTGTGCCCTGAGCCGCCTGACACTACACACGGAGCAACACCTACCACTATAGCAACACATGTGCAACCAAACTGTTCATTTGTAATGCATCCCATACCCGTCCCGTGGGCGGTAGTGGACCCCCACACCCGTCCCGTGGGCGGTAGTGGACCCCCACACCCGTCCCGTGGGCGGTAGTGGACCCCACACCCGTCCCGTGGGCGGTAGTGGACCCCACACCCATCCCGTGGGCGGTAGTGGACCCCACACCCGTCCCGTGGGCGGTAGTGGAAAAGGTTACAGAGGCACATAACAGGTTCAGGAACTGTACCCCAAATTCATTTAGTTTAATAAATTTCAATCTGAAAACCTGAACAGTTTAATGTACAAAAGTCATTTATAGCACAATCTGTTCAAGAACTGGACCATAACAGTCTCAAAGCTGACAAATTAACATCTGAGGTGAGCCAGTTACATAGTTACTCAAGCAGAATAATCACAAAAAAACACGTGATTCGGTTATGCATATAACCACCTTATTATATGCGTATTATCCACCAGGAAAATGAAACGAAAATTCCGAAAGTTTTCGTGTTTCAACATTATCATGGAAATACAGTATTTTCTTGATGTGTTGGAACAACCCGTCCTCACACAAGGCTGTTTAAAGCAGCGGCCGTTCTCCCCATACGCAGTTATCAATTTTAACATACTGTACTGTGTATTAAAAATTGGTTTGCTTTCATATATAAATTAATATTATTATACATAATAATTCTATGTACAGTTAGGCGTAGGTAAGGTTACGTGTTTAGGTTCTGCTGGCGATTATTTGTATTTTTTTTACATTTTTTTTTTACATGCAAAGCATGCGAACAAAAACAAGACAAATTCGTACACCAAACGGGCCACCAAATGTTGACAGGGCGCATCCGATCCCAGGATCGTCGTCGCCCCTAAATCAACAACAACAAATCTTGATAAACAGCCTGAGAGCTGAGCTTCACACGCTCTCGGTGTGTCGTGAGGAGGTGCACCCCACTAACATCCGCCACATTCACCCAGAGCATATCCAGGATGACCACTTCCACAGCTAGATACAACGACTTACCAGAGAATTCGAGGCCAATTGTCTCCGAAAGGCGGTTAGGGGGAAGGGGGTCCCTATGATGCCAAGCAGACGGCGGGAGGGGCGCGCCCTCGGTCCAGACACACCAACAGCCGGGGCAACACTCATTTGTATTTGTAGTATGTGAGTAAAGCATTTACAGCGTTGTGGTTTGAACAAAATTCATCAATGAAGCACTTGTTCCGGAAATGGTCGAACGAAATCAGTTGTGAGTCGTGTGTAAACCGTTTTTCATTCATAAACAGCGGGTTTGGCGGCTGGATTAACGAGCTTGGATCTTTGTATGCGAGGATGGGCTGATTGGAACACGAAAACGTTCAGAACTTTCGTTTCATTTTCCAACCCGTTCTCGCATACAAAGATCCAAGCTCTTTAATCTAGCCGCCAATCCCCCCTGTTTATGAATGAAAAGTTGTTCACACACGACTCACAACTGATGACGTCCGAACACTTCCTGAACAAGTGCTTCGCTCACGTCCTCTGTTCGAACCACAATTCTATAAATGCATCACCCTCGTACAACAAGTACAAATAATTACCAACAGAACCTAAACACCTAACCTACGCCAAATTATACATACAATTTTTATGTATAAGAATATTAATTTATATATGAGAACTAACAAATTTTTAATACAGTATGTTAAAATTGATGAATGCGTCAGGGGAGGCCGGCCACTGCTTTAAACAGCCTGGTGTGAGAACGGGTTGCATTTTCCTAGTGGATTCTTACATATAGTTACTCGCCATACACCCTCACCCATCCCAGGGGCGGCGGTGGAAAGTTTACAATCATGGGCATTCGCTACTACAGTAAGCAAACTTTAGATATTTTGTCAAAATGTGAATAATTCAAACACTGTGGCAGCCTTTGTGCACCGCCAGTGTGGGCTCCCGGCCCATGGCAGCCAGTACCCCAGAACACCTTCAAGGGTCACATATACAGCCTCCCACGGTGGTATAAATATCAAACCAATTATAAGCCAAGCACACATTATACCCAATCAATAAACATGTGCATATATCCAAATATATATCAACATTAAAAAGTTTCATATTTACCGCTTCACTAAACAATCACTTAAGCTACTTTTGAAACTTACAAAAAATTGTACGATATGGCACTGAAAGTCCAATTGAGACCCCCCCCCCCTCCTCCTCCTTCGAGAAAGTCTCCTTCTTAGACTCTTTAGAACTTCCAGCCGTAGGTGATCAGCTCAAGATCGAGGTTCTTTTGGCGGATCTTCACCTTGAGAGACTCGAGCTGGGCGAGGCGGTCCTTGGGCAGCATCTTGAGGGCGAGGCGACGCAGGCGAGGGCACGAGGCCACCAGGGTGTCCACGCCCTCCTCCGTCACCTGTGACGCCCCAGACAACCGCAAATCTTCGACCTGCGGGCATCATCACGCCAGATATTAGCTGCTAGGGTGGCGGGTCACCAGGGTGAGGGATGGCTAGGGTGACGGGTCACCAGGGTGAGGGATGGCTAAGGTGACGGGTCACCAGGGTGAGGGATGGCTAGGGTGACGGGTCACCAGGGTGAGGGATGGCTAGGGTGAGGGCTGGCTAGGGTGACGGGTCACCAGGGTGAGGGGTGGCAAGGGTGACGGGTCACCAGGGTGAGGGCTGGCTAGGGTGACGGGTCACCAGGGTGAGGGGTGGCTAGGGTGACGGGTCACCAGGGTGAGGGCTGGCTAGGGTGACGGGTCACCAGGGTGGGAGGGGGCTAAGGTGAGGGGGGGGTGACCAAGGTGAGAGGTTACTAGTGTGAAGGGTGACTCCTGAAATTGGTAAAAAAATGATTCATTGTTGATCCTGCAGAGTGAAAATCACCTTGCAAGCAAGAAAAGTATGCAGTGACAACAGACGCTGGACCAGAGTGACAGCTCATCAAATCATCAAACACAGTCCCAATTCTGACTCGGAATAATTGACAACTGAGACATATTTCTCATGAACTGAGGAATGTTCTAGGAATAGATGATGTCAATTCTGGTCCGGAGAGGTGCACTTCATGGCAGCAAAGTACCGACAGTGCACAACCTGATAAAGGAAATCCTTCCAGATTACTTAGGCAACCAGGCAGGGATACGAGATCCTATTCTCTTTAACACTGCACCACCAAGTAGCCTTTGATATCTTGCGAAGAAGCTCAGGTGATATCATGCCATCATAGAACAGCTACTCTGTGTCTCGATACTACATCACCACAACGTGAGATTGCTCGCCCTCACTGTATTGATGGCTCCCTATGCAGGTGATTTTCTATTAGCGACCTCCATGTCAACAAAAACATGTCTCAAACGGCAAACCCTTTTGTTACAGTGGCCTAAATTTACCCCTATATGGGTGTATCTGATTGAGGTGGAGGCTGGAAGAGAATCAGTGTGGGTTTGCTCTGCCATAGCACCTGGCACTGTAGGCACAATGAAGTCAGTGACGCCATCAAGAGGAGCCTTACCACAGCGATCTGCTCAGAAGAGACTGAGCCTCAGTCATAATGTCCTTCAAGGATGCGGACGGGATCACAGCTGTGCACCACCTGGAGGAACTGTAGGTTGTTACGACCCTGGGGTTCATCAGTGGAAACCAGAGGTCAAATTGAACTAAATAAATGACTTTATATTATTTGAGACGCTTGTCGACGTGTCTCTGTTCGTATCTTCCTTGCCAGACGTAAGACGAATCTTGTTTCTCACAGAGCATTTAAAGACTGAGCTTGTGGTTGATTATTAATTAATAAAATAGGCATCAACTATGTTTACAAATGACATTTATAACATTTGTACTACACGTGCACATCAACAGCAGCTGATACCTGCAGTAACTTCAGTGTTAAGCATGCAGGTGCTGCTGCTCCTGCCGCCCACACGATACTTGCCAATACCCATAAATTCAAAGAATTGGATCATCAGTCAATTTTTGTCAATGTTTTTTTTTATTTATTTATATATACAAGAGTTGTTACGGCGCCTGGGGTAAATGTATTCATGGAACCAACAAGAGACCGAAGAGCTGCCAGCTACCTTTTCAAGCGCCTCAAGTGTGGCGATAGAGAGAGGAAACGCAAAATGCAACTCGGTTCCTGCCCCAAATCTGAGGAGCTATACAACCTGCTACCATTAACTTTGGACCTTTTATGTAGCAAATAATTTAAAAACTTTTAAATAAAGCTTTTTAGGAAATGCACATTCCACTTGTAACACAAGAAGGAAGCTAATGTACTCATCTATTAACTCATCTATTTAATCTATAATTAATGTAGAACAATTATTTATTATTAATATTTAGCCACAGTGTTGGCATAAAACTAATTGACTTCAGATAATTAAGCCAATAAATACTGGTTATATAGCATGGAATTATCATACACGAACCTGTGTAGGCAGATTGTCCTGCCTGTGACCAGGTACATTAGTATATTAACACTACCTCAGCTCCCTCTCTTTATGGTGTATTAATACAAGTTCAAAGAAAAATATCTTTTGGAGACTGTGAGCGGATGAACAATAATCTCCTGTACTGAGTCTTGCAGGTGTCGGATGCTGCCATCTGTAGTTCTCATTTAACAGCATGTAATAAGATGCCTGATAGTGAATAGCTGGAATATTACGACGTTCTCTCGTCACTTTGAGACTTGAGCTGGATGCGGGAGTGTAAACAGGGGCGTGAAGATCCTACAGTGAAAATACAGCTGTTGTATTAAGTAAAGCAAGTCTGGAGGGAAGAAGCAGTAACGGTAGGTAGAGAGAGCACCACTTTACCTGTGAGAGGGCGCCACGCTGCAGGACCTGGTGAAGGTGGTGGTCGGTGAGACGCTCACAGTAGCCCAGGTCTATACTGGTGGCCGTGGCCGCCCACACCACCGCCCACACCACCACCTCGGGGTCTAGCGCCTGGTTCATGGTGGGCGGCGTCATGATGCGCAGAGTCTCTAGGGTGGAGGAGGGTGCCGGCAGGTCTGGCTGGGGCAGCGTCGGGGTCACACCTTCTAAATAGAGGTGGGTGAGGGCGGGGCAGGTGTGGGCGAGGTTGGGCAGGTGGACAGGGCGGGGGTCGAGCAGCGACAGGTGGAGGTAGGTGAGGCGCGGCACAGGATCACCTGGCAGCCATGCCTCACGCGCCGGCACGAACTGCAGGAGCGTGAGGGCTGTTAGCGAGGGCGCTGCCTCCAGCACCTGGCCCACGCTGAGGGTGTCCGGGGGGCGGCGGGCCACCAGGGAGGCCAGGTGTGGGCACAGGGAGGCAACTGGGGCCAGCGGTGGAAGTGGCACCTCGGCCAGCAGCAGCTGGGAGAGTGCCAGGGGCGCGGTACGCCCTCCCCTCACCACCAGGTCCAGCGCCTCACCTGACCAGCGACAGGTGAGGGCGGTGAGGGCCGGGCACGCTGAGAGGAGCAGCACACACCCTCGTGTGGTCACTGCCGTGCCCCACAGGTTGACTGTCTCAAGTGTGGAGGCTGGCGCCTGCCCTCCTCCCTCACACGTCATGCCCTCCATCAACTCCCGCATGGTGAGGGTGCCTTCAGGACTACCCAGGAGAGACCTCATGCCCTTGTCGCTCACGCCAGTGCAGTAGGACACGTCAAGTGTGTGCAGCGGAGGGGTAGCAACAGCCAGGGCTGCCAGGTGAGCGTCTGTGGCCGAGGGCGTGAGTGTGAGGCAGGTGAGGGCACTCATACCCCTCAGCGACTCGCTCAGTAATCCTCCTAGGGCAGTACGCGGCCCTAGGGTCAGCATGAGGATGGTAATATTAGCAGGGTGAGCCCTGAGGGCCTCCAGCACCGCCTCTATGAGTGTCGGGTGCTCGAGGTGGACCTCCAAGCGGCTGACTCCGGCGGTGACCGCAGCCACCGCCAGCCGCGCCAACACGGCCTCCTGGAGCCCGGCGACGCCCTGGTGCAGCGCCGCCGCCAGGAGGGCTGGCGGGGCGGCCAGGGGTGCGTGCACTCCCTCTCCGCGACTCACTGCCGCATCCAGCGACCGCAGCCACGCGCACATCGCACCGCTCTCCAGGCGCTCTGGCGCCCGCACGCCCACCATCCTGCAACACCAACAGTAGTCAACCTCACAACACTTAACCTCACGTCACAACCTCACAAGTCATTAACCTCATAACACAACAACCACTCTCACAATACAAGTATTCAGCCTATTTAGCCAGCCGCTCTCATGTCATCAGGCGTCACCCTAGCTCAGTCTTCAACTCATCCCAACAATAACATATGAATAAGTTTTATGACTTAGTGGCAGGTAAACGAAAATTAAATCCATATAATCTGGTGTCAGCTGGAGATGACAACACCAGACAGGAACAGCACTCACCAAACAGTTGTCATTCATACAGACTGAACACATCAGAGATCACACAGATCTCCCAGAAATTTAATAAATAATAAATAAGTTAGCATATAAAAAGCGAATAAGTTTTTTTGATGTGCTAATTTATTATTGATTTATTGAATTTCTGCGAGATCTACAACATCTAGCTCATTTATATCTTGCGTTAGATCTAATGTTTTTTTGTTTGTCTACATTTGTCTATACATTTTAAATTAATTATTAATGTATTTTACTTGGCTGAAAGGTTAATTTTTCATGAAACTGATATGAATAAGAGAGACGGAAGGAAGAATTGTAAAGTTAAAATATAAATTCCAAAACCACATTCAAATACTAGCGAGCGAGAGGAATAAAAATCCAAAAACTCATTTACAATGAGACAAAAATATTCATTGTGACATGTAAGATGCAACCAAGATAGAGCAAAAATCCTTATAGTGGGGGATTTGAATTGTAACGTTAATGAGTGAGGACTACATAACTAAATCTACAGAGTCAGGCGACTGTTGTGGGTAGCATGTATCCTTAGGGGGGTCGGTCGTTGGCCCAGAGAGGCCTCCATAAGCCTAACAGGCTTCTGTTCCCGACAATGGAAAAAAAACAAATAAATACAGATACAATTTAACTTTTAAAATATCTGAGAATGAAGTAACTTGATGAAAAAATCCACAGTCAATACACTTTGCAATACTTACATAAAAAATCTAAACTTTTTTTTCCGAAAACAAATACAATTTTGCTCAGGGAAACAAATAACATTACAATACGGGAACCATTAGCGCTAGACCTTTTTCTGTCGTGTAATTTTTCATAGTTTTTTCCCTTAGTAATTTCGCAGCAAAATTTTTAATGAGAACCGGGTCCTGTAATCATCACTCTCTTATTGATTTACCAATACATGTTAGACTATAGTTCTTGTCCACACTTTTTACTCAAATCCAAAGTAACCTATAAGGATTCTAAGCTCAGTTAAGGGCGGGATAATAAAATGCGCAGGATAGGCTATGATAGGGGCAGAATTGGATATGGTATGGGGCAGGATAGGTTATGGAGAGAGCGGGATAGGATATGGTAGGGGTAGAATAGGATATGGTATTTTACCATATCCTCTCCTGCCCCAGGAGAGGATATGGTAGGGGCAGGATAGGGTATGGTAGGGGCAGGTAGGATATCATGAGTCACCCTGTATGGTATATTCCACAGACATACAGGCTGGCTTTTACTTCCTGTTTCACCTACAAACATCCACAATTCTTGACGTACAAGTAATGTGTATACCTTAATGTGTTTATAACATAAACTTGAACTTCGAATCCAGGAGATACACCCAGCTGGAAGACAATGTTTATTACACTACTTGATGTCCTGTCCAAGTGTTCTTAAATGTGGGAGTTGACATACCACCATATAGTTTAACTGTAAAGTAACAGGTACGGCCAGCAGGCGGGGAATGAGGAGCTAGACCTCACTTCCCCTCAGTTACCGTTAGATAAGTACTAACAGATAAATGCTGATAGGTCAGTACTGCTCTCTCTCGTAAAAGCAAAACTTCTTCTAAATATAAGTGACGCACTAAGTATAGGTGTGGCATTAAATATAAGTGAGGCACAAAATATAAGTGAGGCACTGAATTAAGGTGTGGCGCACTAGCCTAATGTAAACATTGGCTCCTGAGCACGGGATCTGCTGCACTTTAATTACCAGATGTTTGTGTATATAATTGTTTCTGTTAATATATGTGCTGCCATATAACATTTGGTTCTTGTTTAAACACATCTCCAAGCGAAGGTGAATGCTCAAGCACATGATAAACTCCGAAACAACTAGATGAAAACCAGCTGTTTCTGTACAATATGCTTCAGAATATTTGAGACTTTTTTATCCTGATTTTTTAAATGATGATATGCCAAATATTTCAAATTAGAACCATGTGAACTGTTTTCAAGACAGTTTGTATGAAACATCAACAGCTTGCTGATGCTGTAACGATCACAAGCGACACACAATAATTACAGAGGAAACATATGTTTCATTCCTAAATTCACAGCTCGGTTAATTAAGTCACCCAACACCTGCTGGTAATTTACAACCAGCTGAGGCATGCAGGTATAAGACACCCTGACGTTACGTTACCTGTAAGGTTATTGTAGTGTGTCTTTTCTCTTCCACCTCGTCATCTTCCCCGGGAGGTCGGGGTCTGCTCCACATGGGCGCCGCCGCTTGTAAACACCGACAGCTGATCGCAGCAGACGACCAGCTGGCTGCCGATCAATACCCACCACAGAAAATGGAAGCTGATTGTCGCTCTTAAGGAGTAACTACGTTGCATTTAAGTTACTAAATGCACTGTATATTTTTTTCTAGATATAGATTTATATGTTTTATATGTATATATATGTTTTTATATGTATATATATGTTTTTATATGTTTTTATATTTTATATATATGTTTTTATATGTATTTATATAGATTAATATATATAGATTTATATATAGATTTATATATTTCTAGATATAGATTTTCTAGATTTATATGTACCTCAAGACAATAATACAAACTGTAGTTTGTATTATTGTGTATGACTTACATATACAGTAGACTATTAGTTGACATATGACTTACGTTCGAGATATTTTACCTTAATGAAATTAATTTGAATGAAAGTAAACCAAAAGTTAATATTCTGGAAAACATTATATATTTAATATTTCATAATTTACCGCCACTGTGGCTGGTTCAAAACACCGTATATTGTATTAATTAAAGTTCCTCCATTTGCATACTAATCTCATAAAAAAAATATTGCTAGAGTGAAAGAAAGCAAGAAAATTAAATTATTTTTCCAGTTTAGCTAATTTATTAAACATACTCATCCTGTGGGTGATAGTGAACCCCATGAGTAAGGCTGGTGTCTGGAGCATGGGTGTGGTGAGGCTGGTGTCTGGGGCATGAGAGTGGAGAGGCTGGTGTCTGGAGCATGGGTGTGATGAGGCTGGTGTCTGGAGCATGGGTGTGGTGAGGCTGGTGTCTGGAGCATGGGTGGTGAGGCTGGTGTCTTGAGCATGGGTGTGGTGAGGCTGGTGTCTGGAGCATGGGTGTGGTGAGGCTGGTGTCTGGAGCACGGGTGTGGTGAGGCTGGTGTCTGGAGCACGGGTGTGGTGAGGCTGGTGTCTGGAGCATGGGTGTGGTGAGGCTGGTGTCTGGAGCATGGGTGTGGTGAGGCTGGTGTCTGGAGCATGGGTGTGGTGAGGCTGGTGTCTGGAGCATGGGTGTGGTGAGGCTGGTGTCTGGAGCATGGGTGGTGAGGCTGGTGTCTTGAGCATGGGTGTGGTGAGGCTGGTGTCTGGAGCATGAGTGGTGAGGCTGGTGTCTGGAGCATGGGTGGTGAGGCTGGTGTCTTGAGCATGGGTGTGGTGAGGCTGGTGTCTGGAGCATGAGTGGTGAGGCTGGTGTCTGGAGCATGGGTGGTGAGGCTGGTGTCTTGAGCATGGGTGTGGTGAGGCTGGTGTCTGGAGCATGGGTGTGGTGAGGCTGGTGTCTGGAGCATGGGTGTGGTGAGGCTGGTGTCTGGAGCATGGGAGTAGTGAGGCTGGTGTCTGGAGCATGGGTGTGGTGAGGCTGGTGTCTGGAGCATGGGTGTGATGAGGCTGGTGTCTGGAGCATGGGTGTGATGAGGCTGGTGTCTGGAGCATGAGAGTGGTGAGGCTGGTGTCTGGGGCATGAGAGTGGTGAGGCTGGTGTCTGGAGCATGGGTGTGGTGAGGCTGGTGTCTGGAGCATGGGAGTAGTGAGGCTGGTGTCTGGAGCATGGGTGTGGTGAGGCTGGTGTCTGGAGCATGGGTGTGATGAGGCTGGTGTCTGGAGCATGGGTGTGATGAGGCTGGTGTCTGGAGCATGAGAGTGGTGAGGCTGGTGTCTGGGGCATGAGAGTGGTGAGGCTGGTGTCTGGAGCATGAGAATGGTGAGGCTGGTGTCTGGAGCATGGTAGTGAGGCTGGTGTCTGGAGCATGAGAATAGTGAGGCTGGTGTCTGGAGCATGAGTGATGAGGCTAGTGTCTGGAGCATGAGTGGTGAGGCTGGTGTCTGGAGCATGAGAGTGATGAGGCTGGTGTCTGGAGCATGAGAGTGGTGAGGCTGGTGTCTGGAGCATGAGAGTGATGAGACTGGTGTCTGGAGCATGAATTGTGAGGCTGGTGTCTGGAGCATGAGAGTGGTGAGGCTGGTGTCTGGAGCATGAGAGTAGTGAGGCTGGTGTCTGGAGCATGAATAGTGAGGCTGGTGTCTGGAGCATGAGAGTGGTGAGGCTGGTGTCTGGAGCATGGGAGTAGTGAGGCTGGTGTCTGGAGCATGGGTGTGGTGAGGCTGGTGTCTGGAGCATGGGTGTGATGAGGCTGGTGTCTGGAGCATGGGTGTGATGAGGCTGGTGTCTGGAGCATGAGAGTGGTGAGGCTGGTGTCTGGGGCATGAGAGTGGTGAGGCTGGTGTCTGGAGCATGAGAATGGTGAGGCTGGTGTCTGGAGCATGGGAGTAGTGAGGCTGGTGTCTGGAGCATGAGAATAGTGAGGCTGGTGTCTGGAGCATGAGTGATGAGGCTAGTGTCTGGAGCATGAGTGGTGAGGCTGGTGTCTGGAGCATGAGAGTGATGAGGCTGGTGTCTGGAGCATGAGAGTGGTGAGGCTGGTGTCTGGAGCATGAGAGTGATGAGGCTGGTGTCTGGAGCATGAATTGTGAGGCTGGTGTCTGGAGCATGAGAGTGGTGAGGCTGGTGTCTGGAGCATGAGAGTAGTGAGGCTGGTGTCTGGAGCATGAATAGTGAGGCTGGTGTCTGGAGCATGAGAGTGGTGAGGCTGGTGTCTGGAGCATGAGAGTGATGAGGCTGGTGTCTGGAGCATGAATAGTGAGGCTGGTGTCTGGAGCATGAGAGTGGTGAGGCTGGTGTCTGGAGCATGAATAGTGAGGCTGGTGTCTGGAGCATGAGAGTGGTGAGGCTGGTGTCTGGAGCATGAATAGTGAGGCTGGTGTCTGGAGCATGAGAGTGGTGAGGCTGGTGTCTGGAGCATGAGAGTGATGAGGCTGGTGTCTGGAGCATGAATAGTGAGGCTGGTGTCTGGAGCATGAGAGTGGTGAGGCTGGTGTCTGGAGCATGAGAGTAGTGAGGCTGGTGTCTAGAGCATGAGAGTGGTGAGGCTGGTGTCTGGAGCATGAGAGTGATGAGGCTGGTGTCTGGAGCATGAGAGTGGTGAGGCTGGTGTCTGGAGCATGAGAGTGGTGAGGCTGGTGTCTGGAGCATGAGAGTGGTGAGGCTGGTGTCTGGAGCATGAGAATGGTGAGGCTGGTGTCTGGAGCATGGGAGTAGTGAGGCTGGTGTCTGGAGCATGAGAGTAGTGAGGCTGGTGTCTGGAGCATGAGTGATGAAGCTGGTGTCTGGAGCACTTCTCTAGGCACTACTCCTCAGCTATACGCCCCAGTTCACCCAGCAGTGATTGGGCACCTGGTTGTTAAACCCTGGACGGGTCGTGTTCCAGGGGGAGCCATGGGATTAAGGGAAAGCTCTCAGCCAGCTAACAGGAGTCAGCCGTCGTCTGTCCCTATAAACCTTCCCGTCCCTCCCACTGACGGCAGGGACTCAATATAATTACCCTTCCCACTGGAACAGTGTGCTACTGATTACAAGTGAGGGGTGTAATCAGTAGATATTTGTATTGTACTTAATTGAATCTCTGTCAGTTTAATAAATCCCTCCTGTCTAATTTGAGTCAGTTAAATCTGTCTCTATTCTTCTCTGTCTAATTGAGACAGTTACCTCTTCCATGGGAATGGGGGGGAGGAGGGGGGTAGAGGGGGCAGGGAAAGGGGCAGTCAGTTGCCCCTTCCACCAGGGGTATGATAGCAGAGAGGGGGGCCAGCTCTGCTATCCTGTCTACCTCATACCCTTCCACTGGATGGGGAGAAAGGTTAGGAGAGGCCCATCAACACCCCCCCCCCCCCACGAGAGGGGGTAGGTGGCGGGGGGGGGAGCGTCGCAGCCACGTCCCCCCCCCCCCACACACACACACACCGACATATATATTTATAAGTGACCATGACCGGCTTTAAGTAATGAAGAATAGAAATGGCACTGAGGGAAGAATGCGAGAGAGGGAGGAGCGGAGAATATGAGAAGGGAGACGAGGGAGAGTGAGAGGAGGAGGGGGGGAGGGAGGAGAGTCTGTGATAGTGTGAGGAGGGAGAGTGAGAGGAGGGAGGGGGAAGGAGAGTGTGTGTGATAGTGTGTAGAGGAGGGGATAGGAGAGAGAAAGATAGAAGATAGCGAGAAAATGAGAGGAGTAGAGAGGGAGGAAAGAGAGCTGAGGAAGGACACACACAGATAAGAAAGGAAGGACTTAAAAAGTGGGTCTATATCGCCTGGTAGCTGGGTGGACAGCGCTCCGGATTCGTAGTCCTGAGGTTCCGGGTTCGATCCCCGGTGAAGGCGGAGACAAATGGGCAAAATGTTTCTTTCACCCAGATGCCCCTGTTACCTAGCAGTAAATAGGTACCTGGGAGTTAGACAGCTGCTACGGGCTGCTTCTTGGGGGTGTGTAACAAAAAAGAGGCCTGGTCGAGGACCGGGCCGCGGGGACGATAAGTTCCGAAATCATCTCAAGAAGATAAGAAGATGGATGTACATGTCAACAATAACACAAGACACGTAAAGGGAAACTGACCAAAGAAGGGAAACAGAGATATCTGATAACGGAGAAATTAATTAGGAGAGACAGAGATAATGGGAAAGAGAAAGATGGAGCTAAGAGAGAACACGAGAGGAAGAACACAGAGATAGAGATGAGAGCGAATGAGGAAGAGAACAGAGAGAGAGAACTCACAAGAGTGTGAGTAATAATAACGAGGAGGAGCTATTCTTTATTTGTTTATCTCTTGCATCATTTTTCATTTTTCCTCGTCTCTTATTCTCTCCCCTCACTGTTGCCCTCCCCTCACTGTTGCCCTCCCCTCACTGTTGCCCTCCACTCACTGTTGCCCTCCCCTCACTGTTGCCCTCCCCTCACTGTTGCCCTCCCCTCACTGTTGCCCTCCCCTCACTGTTGCCCTCCCCTCACTGTTGCCCTCCCCTCACTGTTGCCCTCCCCTCCCCTCGACAGTGTACCTGTTCCTCTCCTCATCTTATTCATATAACCCTCTCATCTGGTGCTGTGCCCCCACTCAGTCTCCCCTCTCACTCTTTATGTATATATATTCCCCCCTCCC